GTAATCACATCCTAATGATTCCGGTACATCACTGCGATATTAGTTTCGCGTGACACACGATATCCAATGACAATATACCTTTAGCCCGGATCCTCATACAGACAACGCTTTAACATAGAGCGCTGATTGGTGAAAAGTCTATTGTGGGGGTAAAATTTACCTCTATTACTCTTTTTTCATCAATCAGCGTTCGCTGTTTGCCCGTATGAGGATTCGGGCTTAGAATGAAAATATCGGTAAAGCTATACACTCATTGGATATCGCATGTCGCGCGCGACGAACATTGCGCTGGTGTGCAGGAGGCATAAGCCATTATCTTGACCATAATATAAGTGCATACAGTATGGATTCTGAACATTTTGTCTCCAATTTTTAGTGCGCATGCGTCGGTTTCCAACAGGAATTTGAGTTTCTTCAATAAGTTGAAATTACAGGTTAGGTTAGGTTAGCTGGATCTTCTTCTCATAAAATATAATCAAATTAAGTTTTACTAAAAAATTAAATCAAATTTTTTCGGAGACGTTATATTGTGTAGACTGCTATATTTGTATACGATAAAGTATTACGATTCTCGTAATAAAGTGTGCGTGCGTGCGCGCGCGCAGTTAATCAATTATTATTTCAATATAATCAATTTTTAATTTACTTATTACTGTTTAATATTATTATTATTATTAATGTGAATATTATTTTTATATAATGAGTTTGTTAACATTATATTATTATATAATTCAAATTTAAAAATATACTCACTATGAACAATTTTCATGATACGATCGAATTGTCTTTTTTTTTAGAAAAATCATTCTTAGCTTTACAAAAACTCAAATTTATAAGCGCTTTGTTAACAGTGGTCAGTCATGTGACCTAGAGCCCACTCAAATCAAAGGTGCCGAGTCTATAAAGTGTGCTCGTAATAAAGTGTGTTCAGTGTCTATATTGTACTTATACTGTGTCCTGGGGATTAATTGTTTATCTTTGGTGCTTTTCATCAAGGCTTTTAGACGACACACATAAACATAGTGTCGGACGTGGTGCTTTCCAATAACAATACGCCACGATTGGACACAAAAGAACGTAGTCGAACACTATGATTGGTTGCCAATTTTTGGTTAAAGTATTTTAATAAAATTGTATCTACGCATAATTAATATATTTTTAAATGTACATTTGTAAATATTGCAATAAACAAATTCCTTGGTGACATTTCTTTTCATGATTGTTTTATTGAGAAAACAGTATTCTTAGAGGAATAATAATATTTTATTTTATGCAGAGAATGAACGTGAGTATAACAAGAGAATTCTATTTTATTTCACTTATTATTAGTTATCTTTTAATGAATAACTGATATAAGTAGAACAAAATTTTAAATAGTACTTTAATTGTTTATATAATAGAAATGTCTTGTTAACAAAGCATTGAAAACAGTAGACATAATACAATGCAACTTTCAGAATCTACAAGTAAAGAATGTATATATACTAATAATTATCTGTAATAATTGACAAAAATAGATATAAGTCCATACTTTATATTTACATTTACATATATTTTTACAGATGCTGTTTGGGATCGAAAAGCAACATTGGCTGTTACAAGCTTGTATGAAGCAAATATAGAAATGATGGATTATCCTAAAAAAAAAAAGGAAAAGTATGAGACGCAATAAGAATCAGACTACTGAAGTTTGGAATAAAGGTATTTTTTTATTAAAGAAGATATATTACTTTCTACGTCCATAATAATACATCGACTTTACTCCTAAAGATTTACATGACATCAAATAATGAAGGAATTTTAAGTGATAATTTAAATAATTTTGAATAAAATTAAATATTTCTTAAGTTAACTCTATACAATTTTATACAAACTACATATTTTATATAATAATAGATATAGATACAAATGTAACTATTCCTTTCTTGTTTATTCAAATATTATATATTAACACAGCAATTACTCTATCTTATTTTAGATGACATATGACCAAGTCCAATGGAAAATCGTTAATGAAATTGATTAATGAAATGCATTAATGAAAAGGTACAGAGAAGTAGTAGACAATAATTCAAAGTCGGGAAGGGCTTGCATGGACTAAGAGTGTATAAGCAGTTGGATGAAATTTTAGGATCGCGACAACGTGCCAGTACTGGGCATACTGTTTCATCGAAATTATCAACATCTGTCACTTGTACTTCGACTTCTGAAAAAGAATATTTGAGTGAATCCTCTTCAATTCAGACCAGTCCATCAAAATTAATTTTATCGAAGAATGATCTTATAAACTCAAATATTACTAGCGTGAAAAATCGTAAGCGTTCCTCTCATGGGACGGGCTCCAAAACTGTAGCAACAAAGGTAGAACTAAAAAAACAGTGGCTACATCATTTACAAAGAAGACCGTGATCATATTAAAGATCAAACAAATGCAGATTTGTTGGAGGCTAAAAAAGAAGCTCTAAAGTTAAAAAAAAACAACTTGATTTAAAAGACTCTGAATTGGAGCAACGAAAAGAAATCGCAAGGAAGAAAACAAAAGAAAAAAAAACCCGTCATATGGAATTATTAGAAATTGAACAATTAAAATACGAATTGTTAAAGAAACTTGTAGAAGACGAAGAAAATGTCCATAAAATTTCAGATTCTGATTGAAATTCTATAATTAAAGCAGCGTTAAGATTTTATTTAAGTTTTTATTTTTATTAGTATTTAGGTATTTTATTTTCTCTTTGTAAGCATATAAGTTATAATGCCAAAAATATAAATTATAAGCGAAACATTTAAACAAATTAGGAAAATATTATATTTTTTTTTAATGTTACTATCTCTTTTATTGAAGCACACTTAAAAATACAAAAAATGTTTAAAAGAGATGTAATAAATAAGTAGTATTGTTCAATAATTTTTAATAAAGAGAATTTAATATTACATATATAAGATACAAATATTGTCGATAGTTATTTGTATTTTATGGAATCAACATTATTACAAATTTACATTATACGTATTTGGAAAATTATGCAAAATTCTTACAGTAATTTATTGTTCAGGGAACAATTCATTGAAAAGTTGTATTCTGCGATCATCTTGTTCCACTCTATGATCTTGTATTTCCTCATAATTGTCGAAATTATTAAAATTTTCTTATCTTTTCATTATCTTCAGGAAAATCATAAACATCATTCTCGTCTATACAATAATTGTGTAACATATAATACAGTAAAAAATTTGATTTGACGGAATCGTCCTTTTAATTCCCTTATTGCTTTTTCAACAGATATTGTGGATGAACGTATAAAATTGAATTCCCTCTACTGTGGTGTAAGATGACCATTATCATGAAAAGGTGGTACAAGTCACGACAAAGATAGATATGCTAAGTCTCCTAATAAAAAAGTATCAGGAAATAATATACCATTGTCAGCATTTGCTGCACAATTCTGATCTTCGGAATATATGCGCATTATGGAAAGATCACAATGTTGGTAATCCGCATATGTACATCTATCACTATTTGTAAACTAATAGAAAAAAATTTTTTTCTATTACAAAAGTCTTGTGCGTGCACTGCAGGTTTTTCTATCCGAATACGAGTACCATCGATGGTTCCTAAGACATTTGAAATTCCTTACTTGGCACGTCAACCTTCAATGATCGTTATTATACGATTTTGTCCTTGTGGCCATTTAATCACTACATCTAATTTTGTCATCAACCAGGCTATGACACGACGGAGAATGCGAAATAGATGAAATAGAAATTCCAACTCTATCAGCCATAGTTCGCAGATTCTGTTTTGGTAATGTACCATAAAAAAATTAAAAAACTTAATTTTGCTGAAATTAGTTTCTTTCCAAACGAATGCAATGGAATAAAATTTGATAAATGCTCATCTGTAGAAAATTTATTTCGTACTTTATATACAGCATGTATTATAGTAATAATAATAATTGTGTAGACCATTATGTGTATAAATCGATAATGAATATATTTCATACCAATTAGTTTTTGTGCAGATTCAATCTTAAATGTTCCTTAAAATCTTGATTTATCCAAGAGTCAATAACCAAAAGATAATTCTCAATACGATGTCTTTTTCGGCTAGTCGTTAAATAATGTAAAAGAGGAAAAAACACTAAGTCTACATGATCTTCATCATTACTAAAAGTACTATTACTTTCACTATTGCTCAATTCTTTCATTGCACTGCTTTCATCGGAACTGCTGTCTAAATTGGAAGTTTCTATTAACTGATATACAATTTTTATTTTATTCATCTGCAAAATATCATATTTATAACTTATCACAATTGTAAATAATAATAATGATAGTTATGTTTATTTGTACGCGTATTTTAAGTATATCAATACGCTCCTTATCCGCCATTTTTCAATCAAATGATTAATGAGCTCACTAGAGCTACGTTCGAAAACTACCTGAATGCTATCGAGTATCTATCATTTGTATTTTCGAACGCAATCTGTATAGTAAACCCTAGCAATCTAATTCAAACTAAACGCGTTCCATTTAAGTATCTAAGCACAGTGTTTGGCCGTGTTACACAGTGTCGATCTGTGCTGTCTAAATGGAAAGCACCCCTTGAGATCTAGTAAAATTTATAAAAGCTCTCATTTGATTGGTTAACTTTTACTATAGCAAAAATATGACATTTTTCACATAACATTGCTCAACAAGAATTTAGATGTCGAATTCAGTCAAATTATGCTGAATCGTGCCGAATTTGTAGAAATTTTCCATCGTATTGATCATAGTGTATACACTATTGCCACCTTTGGTACATTTCTAACTATGCTGGTACCCTGGTATTACATTGCAGAAAATACAGTAAATTTGGTATAATTTCAATATCTGGTACAATTTTTGGTACATTATTCAAAAAATAATTTTGTAATTTTGTATCTAAATACAAAAACAGTCACAGAAAAATATCATCATATTTTATTTTACTTACTAACTGACGCGATAGCTAATAATCTCTTGTAACACGTTCATTGGCTACAGCCTTGCATCTTGTCATACAGCGTTTCCGCGTGTGGATAAAGTATCCAACTAATCTGATCTTTCAAGAATTCACGCGAGTTTTCAATTTATGAAGATTACTATGTATTTATTTGCTATTTTTAAATCAGATAAGACTGAACTGATAAGCCAACTACAAACAACTTAAAACATTTATAAGAAAAAGTGCGTAATGTTACGATTAAAAAAGATATATTATATCTAACGATATAATATGGAAAGGTAAGTTTCTTTATTATTTAATAAATTAGAATAAAAAGATATGTATTTTTTTTATTTCTTTATCTTATGTAAATATGCTATTATACCTGTTTTAGGTTATCTTCTAATAACAGATTTGATAAAGAAAATAATTCCATTATTAGAAAAAAAAATTATGCATAAATTTAATAATGACTAGATAACATAATTTTCTTGGTTAAAAAAAAATAAAGACTAAACTTTTTGTACAATATGTGAGATAAAAATTATTGGTAATTTGATTCATATAAAACGATATGAGCAATTTAGTAAACATACAGATAATTATTTCATACGTAAACAATCTATCAAAATAGAAAAATTTGTTGATAGAAATAAAAAATCTATGCATGAAAAAGAAATTTTTATCACAATTAAAATTAATTATATTTTTATGTGAGCATAATCTGCCATTTTTGTTAATGGAACATTTACCAAAATTGCGTTTAATATGTCCAGGTTCAAATATTGCCAAAAATATAAATTGTAGCAGAATAAAAGTCACAGCTAATAAATGAATGTTTAGTTAAAGAACAATTAGAAGTTTTGCAAAAAAACATTTTAGAAGAAAAATGTTATTATTCTATAATTATTGATGAAACAATAGATGTTTCAATAAAAAAGTGTTTAGCAGTAGTTATATATTTCTTCTATAAAAAAAAAGTTAGAGATATGTTTCTTGGTCTTGCACCAGTTCATTTGGCTAATGCTGAAAAACTCTTTAATTTAGTTGTCGAATTATTTAAAAAAAAAAAGATACCGCTTGAAAACATCCTTGGATTTGCTGTTGATAATGCGGCTATTATGATAGAACAGAAATCAAGTGTTCAGACAAAATTATGATAATTAAATAAGGATATATTTACATTAGATTGTATATCACTCGTATTTATGTTTATCGAAAGCTATAACAAAGTTACCAAAATCCGTGGAAGAATTTATAAGGAATTCGTATAACCATTTTACTAATAGCCCAAAACGAAAGGATGATTTAGAAGATAACCAAATATACCCTTTCAACTAAATGGTTATCATTGCAAGTAAGTTTATTGAAATTTCAATAAGGTATAACTTATTCAGTATTATTAATAATTTTTATTGACAATTTGATAAATTGATAAAACATTTCTTAATTCTTAAACATTTCTTAATTCTTAAAAATATTGTATTTATGAATTCCTTATATCATAAAATAGATTTAACAGTTTAACATTTTAGTGGAAATGGAAATTAATGCTATTGTACATAACATTTTTTTATTTTTAATAGGCGTTGACAGAGTACTTTTGTTGTGGGATACATTATTAATTTAATCCCTTTTGCTTATTCTTTTTATTTTACACATATCTTATAAAATTTAATTACAGGAAATATTAATTTTATTTATAAAAGATTTGTTCTTGATTTAACATGCTTATAAATAAACTTTACCAAGAAATATATGTATGCATATGTATTGAATGTGAGAAGGATAATCAACTATCATTGATCGATACGCCTACTCCTTAATTCACTACTGCTACTGCCCATTGTAGACCATGCATAACATTGGATTCGCTATTGGTATTACCGTCTCTATTGTGATTGGCCAATTTACTTACTGCTTACGTGTTATGGCCTTACGTTCTTACATGGACTTTACTGATTACGTCTTAGGGTAAAATCACACGGTACGGGAATCAGCATGCGTGACAGAGGATTGATCGTGATTCGAACAAACAATTGTGGGAAAGACATATAGGCGGAATAGAAAAATGCGGAAGAGATAGAAAATGCTGATTGGCTGTTCGAATCACGCATCCTCTGTCCCGCATGCTAATTCCCGTACTGTGTGATTTCACCTTTACGGCCTTATGTTTTTGAATGTGCCATGGGCTTTATGGAACACAGTTACAGAACTAGTTACAGCACTACCAACCTTGTAACTAAAAAGAATATTTCGACACAGCTATCGGAACACACAATCTCGATATAGCTCGATTATCCATGTGTACGTTTTGCTTTAATTATACAAATTCACTGCTTTAAAAAACACAAATTTACTGCTTTATTTTACAATGTGTTTTTTGTTTTCTGTTTCTTGTTTTTTGTTATTTTTTACATCTTATCTTTTTGTTTCTTATTCGGTTTTTTGTTTTATGTTGCCCGAGATAAAAGTTAACGAACTTCGAAAGAAACAGAAAATACGTAGCAAGAAATACAATAGTCGATAAAATGATTGCAAAGGGAGAAGAAGTAAGAGGCAAAAAGCAAGAAATAGGAAACAGTACATAGGAAAGAGCATATTGTAGAATAGGCTTTACAAACAAATTCACTGCTTTAAAAACACAAATTTGTTATTAATGCAAAGAATTTCTGTGCTTAAAACAGTGAGTTTGTGTTTGTAA